GGCAGGCAGTGCCCTGGATCCCACGCACACCTCCCTGCCTGTGCACCTCCCAAGCTGAGCTCTGCCAGGCACAGCACAAAATTCAATTTAGCCCCAATTCAATTATCATTTTAATTATGCCTCCAGCGCAGGTACTGAAGGCCTTTCACAGAAGTGCTGCTCCAAAGCGTTCTCGCTCTCCTCAGAAATGTTTTCAGCACCTCTCTGCCTTGTTCTTCCCCATTACCCCTGTGGTGGGTTAAGGATCATGGGGACCAGGGAAACTTCACTTGATTTAAAAGATTTTAAACCCCCCTGGGTTGTTCACCACTGCAATGCAGGCTCACCATGGAGTTGGACAGGTGAGTATCAACCAAGAGCAGAAAGCACCTCCACGAATGTTCTCCCTAAATGACTGTATCCCGGTTATGCCATGTAAAATTTTCTGCAGTTAAGGTTTCTCATGCCGAGGAATATTTTCTGAACAAACTCCAAACACATTCTGCTTCCAGTCCCTTTGTTCCAGTGGATATAGATCTACCTGTCCAAAGAAAGTGTGTCTTTGCTGACAGCCAGGAATTTTAATCAGCTGAAGAATACACCACAAACCCCCCAGATCTGGACAATAACATCTGGAACACTTATCCCATTTTCCCTTAAAAAAAAGCACAGGATTTGGGAGAGAAAGATTCCTTCTAAAAAAAGGTCAACATTTGCTTTGGTAAATAAAAAGTTCAGATGCATAACAGGGTAAGTTGGTATTTGCAACTTACAGAACAAAAGTTAATCAGATTTAACATAAATTTAATGCAAAATACACAATGCTGATATCAGTCCTTTTAATAACTATGTATATATAACAAGAATAAATATACAGATCATAGTTGTTGTTTGGGGTGTTTTTTCAAATAGACTCAACCATAAGGATCAAGAGAATCTACAAAACAGTTAAAATTCAGAATCAGAAAGAACTGGGAAAAAAAAAGAAAATAAGCATTTGGCCTCTTCATACTAATTTCCTTTTTCTTTACATTGCTCAACATTGCTTCTCAATTTGAGTTCTAATCAACAACCACTTCACAGCTCACATTTTATGAAATAATGCAGTTGATGCAATCAAGTCCAGCAAAATGTTTCCCTAAAGATGTTTCCATCATTCACATTCCTTTAAAAACACACACACACACAAAAAAAGGCTCTGACTTCCTCCATCACTATTTAACAGCAAAAATAAACACACCACTGCATCTTAAATCATATTCAGATTAAAACAGAAATAGAATCTTTCTGGGGTTTCTTTCTGCTTAGCACAACATGTCTTTGTCCAGGAGAGGGGGGAAAAAATACCCTCAACCTGCTCATTTTTCTGCACTTGACAATAATGAGCACCAAATAAATAAAATTCAGCCTATGGAGACATAAATCATAACCCAAAAGCTCATCACCATGTGCAGTGGGGGGCAAAAACGCCTCCCAGACCCAACCCGGTAGAAAACCTCTTTCTGCTGATTAATATTTATTTCATTTTCATACTTCCAGGCTCCCCTGCTTTCTATGAAGGACTGAAACCAAGCTCCTTTTTGACATTATTCACCCACAATATAGCTATGGACTTCGCTGCCCTGAACACCACAATGCCAACAACAGAGCATGTGAGCAGTCCTTATTAAAAAGACATTAAAAAAAAAAAAAAAAGGGGGGGGGGGGGGGGGGGGGGGGTTGGGGATATAATCCACATTTTCATTAAAAAAAAAAACCCGACCGGAACACGCATTTTATCCGGGCAGAAAAATCTCAACACCGCCTCGCATTTCCCAGCCTGGACGTCCCTGCTTTCATTCCTGTGGATGCTGCGCGCCTATATCCCCCCGCTCCGCGAAGCCTTTAACCATTTTATCCCCATTTCATCCCCATTTCAAAAGCGTTTCGCCTCCCGAAGAGGAGGGCTGCGGGACAGGGCTGCGGCTCAGCCCGGCCCCGGCCGTCGCACGGAGTTGCCGGCAGGTCCGGTCCCCGTGCCCGCTGCCGGCCACACGTGCCCCTCGGGACATTTTGGGGGGTTCGCCCATCCCTGGGGGATGCCCCCCAAGCCCGGGCATCCCGTCCCCTGCTCCCACGGATGGGGGTGAGCCTGGGGCGGAGCACAGCCCCTGGAGGGGACTCAGCCCCTGCCAAGGGGGCACAGCAGATTTTGGGGGGCAACAGGCTGGTAAGGGCGGGGGGGTTGGGGGGGCGCACAGCCCGGTGCGGGAACAACAGGCTGCACTGGGGGGATGGACGGGGACACACAGCGGACTCGGGGGACACCAGCCCGGGGGACTACGGGAGGGGGGACCCCCGGCAGAGCCCCCGGGGAGAGCGGGCTCCTCGAGGACACAGCGACAGGCGCGCCGGGAGCAGCGGGCTCCGTGCGCCCGGGGGGACACGGGCTCTGCCGGGCTCCCCCCGCCCCGGGGCTCCGCGCTCCGCTCCCCGCCCGGGGCTGGGGGGATGCTGCCCCGCCGCCCCCTCCCTGTGCGCTCCGGGGCAGCCCCCGGCCGCCCCCCTCCATCACCACGGTGCCCCCACGCCGCCACCCCTTTCCCGCCGCTGTCACCCGGGGGTGTCCCCCTCTCCCTTCCCCTCCCCTTACCTGCGGCTTCTCGGGCGGCGGCGGCCCCTATGCCGGTGCAGCAGCTCTCCCTCTCGTCCTCCTCCTCCTCTTCCCGCTGCTCCCGCAGCCGCCAGCCGGGAATGGGGGGGGTAGAGGGGGCAGTACCACCAGCGGGACCGTTACAGCCGCCGCTCCGGGGACTACAACTCCCGGCATGCTCCGCGCTCCGCCGCAGCTCTCCGCCGCTGGCCGCCCCGCGCGAGGGATCATGGGTAGCGTAGTCCGTGCTGCAGGCGGGGGAAGGACATAAGGCGACAGGGCCCGGACGGGCGCGGGGCGTGCTGGGAGGTGTAGTACGGGATGGGTAGAGCCGCCGGACATGGCGGGAGTTGTAGTTCAGCGAGGCATGACGGGAGCTGTAGTCCGAGAAGGCTGACCGGCGGCAGAAGGCCGCTCCGGGAATCCCACCGGGCTGTGCCAGGTGGGGCTCCGGGGCGATCCGCGATCTGATCCCGGCTCCGGGAGCCCCTTCCCGGATAACCTGGCGAGCGCAGGGCCGCGGTCCGGGAGGGGAGCGGGGAGCCGCGGGCCCGGCCTGGCGTGCCGCCCCCACAGAGCTCTGCCCTGTGGCTCCTCGCGCCCACAGCAGCCTCAGCCTGTCGGGGCAGGGAAGGAGCAATTCGGGAGGAGCTGCAGAGTGCCGTGGGTCTCATCCCACGGGAGGGACGCGAGGGCGCTCCCCCGCCCCAGCCCCCTCACGACAGCGGTTCGGTGGGGATTGGCGCCGGGAGTCGCGGGCCCCGAGCCCTGCAAGTGGAGCCTGCCCTGGGAACGGGGACAGCGGTACCGGGGGTCCGCTCCCTGCCCCGGGACGCGCTGCCCTGGCTGCGGGGCATGACAAACGGGCCGGAGGAACATCCCTCCCGCGGGATTCCAGCGGCACCAACGGGACACGCTCGGCTGCAGGAAAAGGAGCCTCCCGAGGGATTTCACCAGGTGCCACCTGTCCCGAGAGTGGCGATGACGGGAACAGCAAGTTCTGTCCCCACGTTCAGCTTTGAACCCCCAGAGCTCCCTGGAATCTGGGGAGACCCCCTGTGGAAGGCAGGGATTTCCTGAGACGTGGGAAGAGTGTTGGAAGGCTGTGGCTGGGATGGAGATCCTCACCAGGCATGAGCCACAACAGGCAGAGCTGGAGGAAAAACAAACCAGAGGCATCGAAGTTCATGCATTTTATTAAACAACACCCCACTGCTGTGGAAAACTGCGGGGGGAATCCAGGATCTGGCTCTTCTGAGCGTGTACTCCCACATGGCATCCTCTCCTTTTGCTGGCTGGAAACCCCAGCAAAAAAAAAAAAAAAAAAAAAAAGACCAAGCCCCCCAAATCCCCCACTGGCACCGTTTCCTTCCCAAGAGGAAAACCACAATGGAAAAGTTTTGAGAACTAATTCCAATTAATGTCTGTTTGGAGAGGTAGCCCAATAACCCAGGACAAATCCAAATTTCAGCCCAAATCCTTTCCTAACGGAACATTTTTCCGAACTCATGGCAGGGCAAAGCTGGATTTCCAAATAATTCCCGTGATTTTGGGAATATTCAGCAGCGGCAGGATGTTTTGCAGCCCCATAACCAGCACGGGGGGATGCACAAGGCTGTGAGTGTGGCCTGGTTGAGTGGGTGATTCCCATTTAACTCCTTTGGGATCGTCCAGCAGGCCACTGGATTAATTTAATTCCTTCTGAAAAATGAATTAAAGCCAGTGCTGGAGTGAGGGAGAGGAGGGGAAAGGGCTTCACATTGAAAACCATGCTGGAATAGAATTTTTTAATATATATTAATCATTGCCATGTGCTCAATAAACATCTTTTATTAACGACCCAGCCTCAGCTGTCACCTGACTTGTGTCTTGACTTCCCCAAATAATCCAACCTCATGTCCCAGAGCCCAGGACAGTTCTGATTCCTGCCAGGACAAGCCTTGATTTTGACCCAGAGGATTGTTCGCTCCGTCTGGAAATTTATTTCAGACAAGCACTTCGGTGCTTAAAACTTGGATTTTTCCTGGTTTATGCTTTTTGGCACCAGACACCTCCTCAGACCCATTCCCAGCACCAGAGGAAATTTCTGCATGCCCCAGGCATCGCTCCCTGTGCCAAGCTCGGTGTGGAGCAGCAGCTTCCCCCCCTCCAGACCCCCAAATTCGGGGGTCCTGCTCGGGCTGAGCCTCTCCAGGGTCACCCACAGTGCTGGATGTGCTCCGTGTCCAGAAGAAAGGCAGGATTTGAGGAGAGAGCGCGGATGGGAGCTGCTGGATAAATCACGGGCACGCCGGCCGCGCAGGCGCCGGGCAGCAGCTTTTTGGGGCTAAAGCTCTGGGAAGCGGGGTTTTCCCGGCGGGCAGCACTCGGGGATGCTGGTGCCGGACTACAGCTCCCGGCGAGCCGCGCGGGCGGGCAGAGCCGGGCGGCGGGAGCGGAGCGCAGCGCATCCCGCAGCGGGCACCGCCGCCTCCGCCCGGTGAGTGAGGGATGCGCGGGGCTTCGGGGAGCCGGGGGCGGCGGGCCGGGGCACGGAGAGTGCCCGGGGGACCGGTACTCAGAGGGGCGGGCTCCCGAGGGGGGCAGAACCGTGCAACGAAAAGTGGGTACGGAGCAGGGAAGACGTCAGGGATGTGGGATGAGGGCACCAGATGTGGGTACCGAGGGACTGTAAGCAGAGTGGGATGAGGGTGGTGGCACAGGGCTGTGAATGCAGAGGGATGGGGGTACCTGGGGGTGCCAGGGGATGGGGGTATCCATGGGCTGGGATTTCCTGGGGATGTGGCAGTACAGGTGATGGTACCAGGGCTGCAAACGCCATGGGGACCTGGATACTCGGGGGTTCAGGCATTCGGTAAGGCAGGCACAGAGGTGCTGGGAGGGTGTTTGTGCCTTGCCGTGCCCCCAGAGCTGGTGGGAGGTCCTGGAGGCCATCCCAGGCTGCCGAGTTCCCATCACTGGGAGCTGGAATTCCCAGTGGATACGGGGGCCATGGCCAGGGAACTGCTCCTGCCTGTCCCTGGGGTGTTGGCTCTGCTCGGGGACCTGGGGAGCGATGACTTCATGGCCTTATTAAGGACTCATTTCTATCCAGGCAGGGAAAATAAACAAGTGTAGGTGTCGTTCAGCATGGAAAGTTACTGGGGCTGTGGAGAGGCACTGCCTGTTTTCATACACAGCCCGGATTTCTCCATTTACCTCCACGGACTGATAATCCCTAAATCCCAATGAGATTAAAGGCAAAAGGAAAGGTGGCCAGAGCGCCTCCTTCGCGACATTTCCCAGATGACGAAATCCCACATCGGCCTAACCCTGATTAACCCAGGCACTGAGCTCATCTCCCAAAAATACCAGGAGCAGCAAGGGTGAATCCCCATCCCTAGAGCCATGGGTAGAGCTGGGGGTGAGGCAGGAGCTGCTGTTTTAACCCCATTATTGTTCCCATCCCAGCAGATCCGGCGAAGCCTGCGGCAGCCATGGCGCTGGTGAAGAGTGGCTGGCTTTGGCGGCAGAGTAAGTGCCATCCTTGAGCTTTCTGAGCTGGGAGCCCCCCAGAAAAGCCCGGAGAGGTTTGCTGGGAAGAGGTGGGGTGTGGGGGACACAAGGAGCCCCAACCTTGACAGGTAATCCACGACAGCAGGGAGATTGTGGCTCAGCCGCTCGCGGATTTACATCAGCGGAGAGAGGGGCTGCCTGCCATGAAAACACACACGGCTCCGTGTCCGGGGCTGGATCTGCTCCCATGCGCTCGGCAGGGCAGCACCCAGTGGCCTGATGGCTTTTTTGGCAGCCTTTTCCCGCTTACAGCCACCTGCTCACACTTCCCCGGATGCTTGTGCCAGGCACAGGTGTCCTGTGGGATGCAGCGGCTCACGGGTGGGATCCAAGTGTGGGGGATGAGATTGTGAGCGTGCCGGCTGCGTCCCACTGGACTCGCTGGGCTCCTGCACCCGCTCCCTGTCCCACCAGGCTCCATCCTGCGCCGCTGGAAGAGGAACTGGTTCGTCCTCTACCTGGATGGCAGCCTGGTTTACTACCACGACGAGACACAGCAGGACATGGACGGCCGGATCCACATCAAGTACAGCTGTCGGGACGTGCGGATCGGCCGTGAATGCAAAGGTGAACTGAACCCCTCGCTCCCGAGCCCTGCATTCCCAACCCCATCCCACGTGTGGCTGCATTCCTCTCAAACGAGGCTCCACCTGTGCACATCCAGCAGACCCCCAAATCAGCCCATTAATAACCCCAGGCTGCCTCGTTCACCCCTCCTCGCTCCCAGCCAGGAGATGCTGGATGGTCTCTGCTGTTGCTTTTCCTGGGGAAAGGAAGGAGGGAAGGAAGCAAGGAAGGAAGGAAGGAGGAACTCTCCTCCTGGCTTGTGCTTGTAACAAACAGGATCCCACGGCCCTGACTCATCGCTCACGTCTCGCACAAACAAGGGGAACAAAGCAGCAGCTTGGCGGGCCCCGCAGCCCACGGCCGCCACACAAAGTGCCTTTCTTGGGCTGGGAGTGGCCATGGGAGCACAAACCCACTGCTTTGTGCTCACCACAGGGTCCTGCCAAGCTTCAGGATGGGGGAAGACACACGAGCCTCAGGGAGTTAAGATTTTGCTCTTGCTGGAGCTCATGATCCCACTCTAGCAATAAGCATCTCCCGTTCCTACAAAATTTGGGTGCGCCCTGGCAAGTTCAAAGCACAGGCAGCTCGGCCTCATGGCCTCCAGCAGCTTTTTGGGGGTTTGCTGCCCTACCATGTTCTTTCTGCCATGGGGGTGGAGGTTTCTGCCCATCAGCTCATTCCTTGTGTTGGCTTTTAACCTGTGAGAGCTTGACTGCATCCTCCACGTGGAGACAGAGCCAAAACTAAACCCACCAGCTCTTGTGCCGGGAGGAATTTGGAGCCTGGGGAGGGTCTGGGGGACATCTCCTTGGCTGAGGCTGGATCCCACCCCATCCCTTTCCTTCCCAGACGTGCAGCTGCCCGAGGGGAGGAGCCGGGACTGCCTGCTGACCGTGGTGCTGCGGGACGGCTCCAAGACCACGCTGTGTGCAGAGAGCGAGGACGACGCCGTGTAAGCGACTTTTCCATCCCACTTATCCCAGCCTGGAAAGGGCCTGGGCCACAGGAGAGCCCTGGCCCGCTCTCACCACATCCCACCCTTGGTTAAACCAGCCCCCAGCCCCTGTTCTCAAACGCATTTGCAGGGCCAAAGGTGCAGGAGGAGATTTGGGGATCTCACTGAATAATCCAGAGCCAAAAGCAGATGGTTTTAAGCAGTCAGTCTCCTGATGGGGGAGTCTCCTCATGAATAAGAAATCCCCTCTTGGCTGACTGAGGAGAAGGGTTTTCATCACTATTTGGAAATAAATAGTCTGACTGTGAACTCTCACTGGCTTGAGGCAAACTACCCTTTTTAGCACTGTTCCACTTCTGTTTATTTCTAAAAGAAATTAGAAATTAAATTTTAAAAATAATTTTATTTTTATATAAATTGTTTTTTTTTAAATAAAAATTTTTAAAATTAGCAGTGGCAGATGTTCAGCTGAACTTGGATGGAGGGAAACATGCTGTGGCCAAGCAGAACTTCATCAACTGAGCTTGACCTCAGCTGAGTGGAAATTCATCGATTATGTGCTCTTCCCCCAAATTTAGGTGTCCTTTTCCTGCCTGCCCTCGTTTTAGCCAGTGCCATTCCCAGGGATTGCCCTGTGCCCATCCCTCTGGTGTTGGGTACCTCCCAGCACATTCCCAATCCCAACTGTTAACCCAGCACTCATGTAATAGGGAATTAAAGAGTAGTGCCACATCCAGGTCCCCATGGGGAGGAAGGGGACAATTCCCACCCCTCCAGCACCCACCAAAAATGAGTGCCTCTGTTTTGTTTGCAGTGCTTGGAAGATGGCCGTGCTGGAGGCTAAATCCACCCCGGTGAGGCTTTGTCCCCCTGAGCAGGGACACCATCCTGGCATGGGATTTGGGATTCAGGATTTGGGCACGGAGAGGTTACCCCAACCCTGAGCTTGCTGGGGGGCTCCCCAACACCCACAGTGCAGCCTCGGGGCTCAGGGAGTAAATTCCCTCGAGCCACAGGGAAGAAGGTGGGGATGGGTTGGATACCACCACTGATGGCAGGTGACAGAGCCACAGGGACCCTGTGCACCGGTGGAGGGTGACAGGGACACAAGGGACACAGTAAGGACACAAGAACACTGTTAAGGTGACAGGGACACCATTAAGGGGGCAGAGTTGATGTGGTGGGTCACAGTTAAGGTGACAAGGACACACAGTTAAGGTGACAGGGACACTGTTAAGGGGGATGGGGGCAGAGGTGAGGTGACAGGAACACAGCTAAGATGACAGGGACATGGGTAAGGTGACAGGGATGATGTTAAAGTTATAGTGAGACAGTTAAGGGGAATGGGGACACAGTTAAGGTGACAGGGACAGGTGAAGGGAATGGGAGCAGAGTTAAGTGGCAGGAACATTGTTAAGGTGTCAGGGACACTGTTAAGGTGAGAAGGACACTGTTAAGGTGACAAGGAAGGGGCAGAGTCAGGGTGGCCTGAGCACAGGCTGTCCCCAGCCCTTGGGACTGCTCAGATTCCCCTCCCAAGGGACCCCTCCCTGCCGGGGCAGCCTGACCCCAAAGTCCCCCACGGCCGCTGCCGCAGGTGCACGTGTACGACCCCTACGACGACGACTACTACCAGACCGTGCCCCTGGACTCCCACCAGGCCGCCTACATCAGCTCCGGCCACTATGGCCACCAGTACGGAGGTGGGTGGCCCAGTGGCCCCAGGGGGGAGTGGCCAAGGCCATCCCTCCCCCACTCACACCCGTTTTCCCTGGCAGCTCCCGGCGTGACCCACGTCATCGTGCGCGAGGATCCCTACCGCGTCTCCGGGGACCAGATGGCCCTGGGGCTGCTGGCCGGGGCCGCCACCGGCGCCGCCCTGGGCTCCTTCATGTGGATGCCCTGCTGGTTTTAGTGCCCACCAGGCTGGGCCACAGGCTCCCTTTGCTCCCCAGCCCTGCCTTGGAACCTGACCTGAGCACCCCTCAGCCCCTCCAGAACACCCTGGGGACAGACTTCCCCACACACCCTACCCCCAGCCCTAGCTTCTGCATTAAATAACCCCCAAGTCCTTCAGAGTTCCCCAAAAGCCACTCCAGAATCCCACAGCACCCGATTCCCATTGGCAAAGGGCCCGGGAGCTGCCGGGGCTGTCGGCAGAGCTTCCCCATCCCAAATCTCCACAGGGAGCTGGCTGCAGAAATTCCGGGTTTGGGAGAAGGGGGACAGACTTATTTAATTTGGGGGGAAGTGGCTGGAAGTTATTTGACTGGGTGAACCCCACAATACAGAGGCTTTTAAAGTGTTTTTTGGGGGAGAGGCTCCAGCACCAGAGAGCACCACAGGGATGCTCAAAAGGTGGGTAAAAGATTAAGGAGGATGAAAACCTTTGCAGGATTTCCACTCCTTTCCAACTTGCACAGGTCCCCTGGGCCTGGCCAAATTGGAGAAATGTTGCATAACCCTCAGGAATTGGAGTTAAACCCCTGGGAATCAGGCTGAGAAGAGCCCAGGGAATATCCCAACGTCTCCAGCTGAGTGGGAAGGACACACAGCATCCTCAGTTTCATACTGATTTTTGGGGAGGGGGAGAAGGGCAGCTCTCCACGAGGACCAGGGAGCCTTTCTGGCAGCCAAGCCGGGATCTTCACAGCAGGGATTTGGGACTGAGGGGGGACACACAGTCAGGCCAGGGGACAAGCAGCAGCTCAGGGTTTTGGTTGGGCGATGGAAGAGGTGAGGAACAGCTGCCAAGTGTCACCCCTAAGAGGCAGGATGATATCCTAGAACCACGACTAACATTGAATTTAGGAATTACAAGCCCCACAGCTAGATAGAAAACCACCAGTGACACCAGCACCCCAGCCTGCTCCTGCCTTTAGAGACCTGGGTCAGTTCATCCTTGTGCCCATCAGGGAATTGGGATATCCCAACACACCATCCTCAACCTCTCCTGCACTCCCTGCCTCCTTCCTGCTGTGCACCTGCTCCCAGAAAAGAGGAAAAAAAAATACAAAAAAACTCTTTGAAGTCTAATAAAGGTAGTGAAAAAACAGCCTGTGGGTGAGTGAGGATGAGGAGGGAACGCTTAACCTCGGCCACCTCCGGGAAGGATTGTGTCTCCCTGGAGAGCTGCCCAGGGGTGTCGCCACCTTCCCTTGGCCTCGCTGCCTTTCCAACCAGGAGTTCCAGCCTCTGGGTGTGGCACAGAAGGGACAAAGCTGCCCAAAAAATCCTGCTCAGCTGCAAGAGAATCACCATTTGTGCTGGCAGAGCAGCTCTTTCCTCTGTATCACGGATTCATGAGATGAGGCATCTCCACTTGTGAAGGGCCAGCACAGGGTCAGGCACTGCCAGCCCCTGAGGTGGTGGAAACACAACCCCTGGTTCTGTTTGATGTGCAGAGCAGAAGCCACACCTGGCTCCCAGCTTCTAAGGCAGGGGTTCAGCCCCTCCATCCCTCTGTTAATTCCAGCACAAAGCCCAGCTCTCAAGGACTGGGGAAGAGAAGGATGCACCCCACTGCATCCTCACCCTGGTGCCTGTGAGCCCGCAGCACTCACTCACCAGCACCTCCCTGTGGCACCGCCGATCCTGGGCCATGGATCCAGCCCCCACAGCTACTGCGGCTGCGGGGGGGGGGGGGCACAGGAGTGAAACAGCTCCTGTGACACGGGGCCACTGTCCCCATTCCCAACCTGTGACACATCCCAGCTGCGTGTGCTGGCAACCCAAAATCCCCGTGTACTGGGCTGATCCCCCAGTCTGGGCAGCACAAAGGGGGGATTCTGCCCCTGTGCCCAGGTGAGACCTCACCTGTGGAGCTGCCTCAGCCCTGGGGACACAGCAGCAGCACCTGGAGCTGCTGAAGGAATCCATGGAGCTGCTCCAGGGCTGGAGCCAGGCTGGGAGAGCTGGGGGTACTCACCTGGAGAGGAGAAGGCTCCAGAGAGAGCTCAGAGCCCTTGCAGGGCCCAAAGGAGAGGTGGAGAGGGATTGGGGACAGGGGATGGAGGGACAGGACACAGGGAATGGCTTCCCACTGCCAGAGAGCAGGGATGGATGCAATATTGGGAAGCTTTTCTGAACAATCTGTGTCAGGGCCTCACCACCCTCACAAGGAAGAATTTTACTCTAAGATCTGATTTACCAATCCAATATCCATTTTATGGTTGACCTGGTGCATAATCCCAGGTGAGACAGATTGGGACATGGAAAGATCTGGAAACTTGTTACCAATAGCAACATGACCTAGAAACTGTCCATTCTTCCCATGCCACGTCCAGCTGCTGACCTGTAGAAACTCCTTTTCCCGAGCTCAGACACCCATGCTCCTCATCCCTGCAGTACCTGAACATCCTGGAACTGTTCCTGCTTCTCTCCTGCTGTGCTGGTCTCCCAGAGATCCAGGGACATGGAGCAATCCAGGCTAGGACAGTGCTGGAGCAGCCTCCAGCAGCAATTCCCAGGCTCTTCATGCTGCCGGTGGCAGGCAGGCCCTGCACTAGGGAGCTAAATGAAGGAGCAATTAAATATGATATAAATACTTTTGGAAGCACAAACAATTGATCCACAGCCCACAAAAGTACCTGGCTTGGTCTGCTCCACCCAGGAGGGACTTCCCAGGAGCTGTGGTGCACGGAGTGGCGCTGGGTAGGAGCAGAGGGACAAGGAATGCTGAAGGACAGGGATCAGGGCTGACCTGCTGTATTCCCATCTCCCATCCAGACTCGCAGCACTCCTCTCTCCCAGCAGGGAGAGTTGCTGAAGCTCCAAACACGGAGCAAAGCTCAGAACAGCTCCAAAACCCCTCGGAAAAACAGGATCTGCAGTAAGGAGCAGGCACGAGTCATTAGAGCCCATAGTGCTCACAAACTGCCTAGAAAATTAATCCCACAATATCCCATGGCACAGGAATCAGCTGGGGGCCATGTGACCCTCGCTGGGATCCAAACCCACTTCTCTGGAAATCAAACAACTCAGGAAATGTCAGGATCAAACCTCCTTTTTTCATACAGCCCCCCTTCCCAAGCTGGGATAAATGCAGGAAAGGTCAGTGCCAAATCACCAGTGCTGGGAGTATGGATATATCCGATTTTCTCCCTTCTCTGTACCCGAGGAGCCCCTGGCTGTGAGACACTTCAGTGTTTTAATTAGCAATAACTTTAATCAAGCCTTTAATAACATCCTCGTTCCAGACGTGCTCTCCGGGTGGCCAACAGCAAGCATTCAAATGGCTCTAATTTATATCCAAACCCTCAGAAACAGGTGGCAAGCCTGGAAAATTCGATTTGGAAACAGCACCAGCAGGGCAGAGCTGCAGGGCAGCAGAAGCATCATCACCCAGCTGCCTCCAGCCCTTCCCTACCCCTCATCCTCCCGGGAAGGGCAGAGCTGTTAATTCCACAGGAGTTTAATTCCCGACACACCCAAGCCCAGCCTTTCCAGCATCCATCTGGGCAGTCAGCTACATTCTGCTCCTACAAGAGGATCCTAAATATTTTATAAAAATCCGTATTTGACTTCACCACGCACTCGGTCCAGGGTGGGGAAGGGGAAAATTATTAAAGAGGGGAGGAAAATAAAATCGGTATTTTTGCCAACTGATGAAAAATCAAACTGATGAAAAAAACAATTCTATTGGTGAAACTCCAAGCCCAGTAAGCCTAGAAAGGCAGAGGGAAGAGCAGCAGAGGAGGAGGCAGCACAGATGGGAGGCAGAGGCTGCTCCGAGGTCCGGGTGTTTGCAGCTGCCTCCCTGACTGCAGGAGCGCTAGCAGCCTGTGCCGCAGCTTGCCCGCCCCACTTATCTTCCTTTGCAGCTGGGACATGCCCAGCATGGAGAAAGGTGCTGCTGCAGCAGGTAGGGAGAGCCCTTGCACTTTAATTTGCTGAGCATTCGGCCGCTGAAAGCAGAACTGCAGCGAGGGGACAGCTTGGCTGCTGCAGCAGCTCTGCAGATGCTGCCAGGTGGATGCTGTGGCTCCTCCAGCCTGGAAACATCGGGGCTGGCCCCACCAGCGAGCAAAGAAGCCATCAGCACCCTCCAACCCGAGCCAGATACTCCCTTTTGGATTTTGGAGCTGGGCTGGGAGAGGGAGCTCGACCCAGTGCAGCCATGAGCGAGCAGCCAGGAGCACCCTCTGGAGCTGGTGGGTGCTTCCCACACATTCCCTGCTCCATAGCAGCCCTGTCCCTGCAGCTTAATCTAAACCCCCTTCATCAGAGGGAAGCTGGGAATTGGGATACCAGTGGAAGGTGAGAGCCCAAGGCTATCCACGGCAGCAGCCTGGAGGAATCGAGGAGGTGAAGGTGATGTTTGCAGAGGCTCCCACCCAGGGCAGCACCTGGAGGTGCCGGCTACAAGGAAGGGAAGCTCCCCCTGGTGACAAAAACCTTCTCCAGGAACTCGTCCCCGCCACATGACTGTTCCCATATCCCTAATTCCAGCACATCTCCACCAGTACTTTCCAGCTGCACGACCCATTTATTCATGGCCCTTTTAACTGCAAAGAGCTTGACCAAGAGACCGAGGTTTGGGCACACAGCAAATCCAGGTAATTCCCCTTCTCTACTGGCCAGGTTGGATGGGGCTTGGAGCAACCTGGGCTAGGAGGTGTCCCTGCCCTCGGCAGGGGGTGGCACTGGTTGGTCTTTAAGGTCCCTTCCAACCCAACCATGCTGTGATTCCAGGATCCTCTCCTTCAGGAAAGCAAAGGGTAACTCACCAAAGAGCAGCTCTTACCTCCCTGGCCCCACAGACCAGGATGCCATCTCCAGCAGGAAGGAGGCTTGAGGAGGATCCTCCTCAGGGAAGCTGGGCCTGGTGCACCCGTGTGCCAGGGCAGCTGAGGCAGTGGTGAGGCTGCACAAGGTGCCTTTGGGAAGGGAGCAGAGGCAGCAGCTGGATGCAAGGAGCGGGAAGGGAGCAGAAAGGCACAGCTGCAGCTGCAGAGGCCGGGCTCCGTCCCCGGCATCGTTCCTTGGGCGCTGGAAACAATGGCAGAGACACCACAGCAACAGCAAACACACCCCTGCAGCACCTCCCCGGTGACACAGAGCCCCCCCAAACTCCTCCTGACCGCACAAAAGCCTCCTGCAGCACCTCAGCCCCCCAAGGAGCTGCTCCTCCCGCCCACGCTGCGCTGCACGTGCTGAGAGAAGAGACCCAGAGCTTTCCAATGAGACAGGTATTTATTTCGTTCAAGCACTAAGGATTTGTTCTCTTGTTGTTGGTTCATATTATCAAACAGAGCTGAGGTACCAGTGACATTCCAACATGAAGAAAAGGAACCTTTTTTTTCCCCTTACACAATTTCTTCAACTACTTTTATCAAGACAAAATGTGAGGCATGGAATAGCTGCATGATGGACTGTACAACGAACAAGCCAGAGCAGGGAGGAGAAAAGAAACAGAGGCGAGACCTTCACTCAAAAAAATTGCACAAAAGTCAGCATTAAGAACATCTGTCCCCATGGTCCCACTGGCCACGCCCACAGAGCAAAAGAAAATTAAATCTAAAACCTGACAGACAGATGGCAAAAAACAAAGAAAAACAAAAACAAAGCAACAACAACAACAACAACAAAAACAAAACAAAACCAAACCAAAAAATTAATATAAAGACCGCGTTGCTCCTGTGCTCACCTTGGAAGTGTGCTCTCTCTGGAGAGCTGGGATGAGAACAGGACTGAGCCCTGTTAAGCACAGGCTATCAGGAAGGACATGCACTGAACGTACCTGGCTCATCTGTGCTCCTGCAGCCCCCAGGCCGTGCTGAACACGGAGCTGTGGGAATGCTGCTCTCCAGACCTTTGTTTCCAGCAAGTTCTGGACAAACCTGCTCTCAGGTGTTCCAGGAAAAGCATCCAGGCTGCTGGTCCATCACAGCCCGTAAGGACTAAGCCAGTTCCTTAAATCCAGTGCTTAAAGCCTGGGACTGTGGGAAGCAGAGGGAGCTGGTTCTATCAGAAGCAAGAAAAAAAGGATGTGCTTGTGGGGAACAGCCAAATGAGGACCAACAGAAGCTGCATGGAGAACCAAAGGAGAAAAAAGCAAACCAAAGCAAAGGAAGAAGCAGCAGGATGAAGCATTTCAGCACGGTTAAGAACAGTACAACAAAGGAAAAGCAGCCAGGTTTCCTTCCCCCAGAGAGTTTCTTTTAAATAAAGAATGATCCTTTGTCACATATCATTGATGTTTATTTCAAGACATGCCACGTCAAAAAAAATCGCCTTTAATATTGCATTAGAAAAGCACTTTTACATCTCGTTCTGCCTTTAAGTTATTGTTGTGCAGAGTTGCTAGAAACCCAGGGCGGGACATGAGCCTGGCATTCACCTCAGGAATGAAGAATTCCAACTCTTTTATGCCCGCTTCCTGGGGAAAGTGGTGGTGAGGAAGATTCCCTTCCTCTCCCCCAGGGTGGTTATTTTAGATGGTAGAGAGAGGGGCAGAAGAGAACCAAGGAGGAGCCTGAAAATTCCCTTGCAATTGTCCATTTAAATCACAATCGCAACACAGACTCGAGAATTCCTTCCTGCACTGTAACTCGCCAGAGTCGCCCACCAAACAATGTATTTACAATTGTGTTTATTAACTTACACAGCAACTTCACAATGACTAGTAAAGATTAAAAGGGTGCACTTCTAGTGTGTTTCATTCCGTGTTTCTCAGGTAGCTACATCTTGCAACATCAGCAAAGCTCTACACAGATTCCTCAGCCAAAGGAAAACAACAAAATCAGCACTGAAAAGAGTAAAAAAAAATTAAAGCCAAGAAATAAATATCAAAGAAAAAAGGGTTAATTTTGAGCCTAATTCCATAGAAAACTAAATTACTAATTATTTAACCAAACTATACAGCTCTAGAGAACCAAACTAAACCAACTTGGAAGACTGAACGTAAAAATAAAAAAAAAAGAGCTAAAAAATAAAGGCATAAATCTGCATAATCAGAAGTTGGTTTCCATCCTACTCAAGCCCCTCCCTTTCCATCTAAGATGTCTCAACTAGGATTCTGTAAGATCAAAGTAAACACCCCTTCCCCACCGATCTATGCCCACGCTCTGGAAAAGCGGGTGCCATTCCCCCTCTGCTGGGGCAGCCAGCTGCTCTTCCCTCTTTCTCCCAAATTTCCAAGGTTTCAATCAGCTTTGGCAGGTTTTAGTGCCAGTCCTGATTTCAATATTTTCCCTAAAGACACAAAGAAGCAAAATGCTTTCTCTTCCAAACAGCTGAACTGTTACGTTCCCGTCTCTTGGGCAGTAATAATTCACTTCATTGGTCTTCTACTTAAAAAGGAAAAAAAAAATACTCTGAAAATTCATTTTGCACTTGAAACACTATTTCACTGTTCCCTGCAAGTGTTTTGCTAATGCACATCCACCCTTTCCTTCCCCCCAAAATCCTCCAGAAGCCATTCATCCCGAAGAGCCCGTCCATATTTCCCAGTAATGCTTCCTTGGAAATGTGTCTCCGCTGCCTCGGTGAGAATTCCCAGCTCCAGCAGCTGGCGGTATCCAAGCCCTGCTAAGGCCAGGCTGGGTCTGGACACCAGGCAGACTCGCAATTAAGAGCTTGGGGTTAATTTGGTTTTAATTATAAGGATAAGCCTTCAACCCTCGGCATCTGCTGCCTCCCCCCATGATTCTGCCTGCTGTCTACGCATTCCCAGTTTCTGAGAGAAATTCCAATGGGTCAGATTTGCAAGCCTTCTTCTGCACATACATCTCATCTAGGTCCAATTCCAAACTTACTCAGTTGCCATCATTTCAAAGTGCAATATCATAACATATTAAAAAAGGAACAAATATTAAGAAATTGTACCTATTTTTTTTTGTTTGGATTTTCTTTTTTTTTTTTTTTCTTTTGTTTTTTTTTTTTTTTTTTTTTTTTTTTTTTTTTTTTTTTTTTTTTTTTTTTTTTTTTTTTTTTTTTAAAGTTATACCTAGAATACGGTGGAGTATTTTGGCTTTTTTTTTTTCTTATAAATAATGAAGACACTGACATTTTGTTGGGGTGTGTGTATGTGTGGGGGGTGTGCTTGTGAAGCTAAAGATCATCTCCACGAGACAGCCAGCGATGATGAACTGCGATACATTATTACGGAAAGGGGAAGGTTCAAGCCAATATTCACACTGCAGTCAATGAAGAGGACAGGGAGGGAAAGCAGTGATGTTCTGGAGAAAGGTGGAAGCCACATGGTATTAGCAGGAACAGCCTCCTTCACTGACAGGCTGCTCTTGAGGCTTTTCCAGTTTTATGTCAATCACTGGAAGGAGGAAGTTAAGGCAAACTGATCTCCAACTCTGTTTCCCTACCAAGAGCAGAATTCTGAATGGCATTTCCAGTGCTTCCCACTGAAATACTGGAAAAGACCAGCTCCAAACCAAAGGTTTCTCACCTGCCCCTCCTGCCCTGGCACTGGCACATGAGATTTGCAGCAGAAAATACGTCAGAACCCAATGCGTGTCTCTAACCAGTCTGCTCTTCCCAGCAACCCCACTGATCACTTGCTGTGGAAATTCAAGTGATGGATACACCGAAGAGTCTGATCACTGCTTCTGCAGAACTGCAGAATCATTCAGGCTGGAAGAGCCTGCTGAGATCTCCAAGTCCCCCAGCACTGCCAAGGCCACCAGCATCTCATGTCCCCAAGTGCCACATCCACACGTCTTTAAATCCCTCTGGGAATGGGGGCTCCACCACTTCCCGGGCACCACCACACAGCGTGCACCCCTAGAGCTCCGGCTGTGCCAGCCCGACTTCCTCACAAATCCTTGCTCAGTTAAACCTCTCTGCTCCCCCCCGCAGCCAGCAAAGCCCTGCCAGAAGCCTGAAATTCCCCTTCCAGGACAGCTGATGTCCTACAAGGTCATTGCAGAGCTGGCTGCTCACAACCTGCCTGTGATAAGCGACTCCCTCTGCAGCGCTGGAATTCCCAGCAGATGCCCTCCAGCTACAGCCTCCCTGGCTTTGAATGCTAATCCCCAGCTCAGAGCTGTTCACCACAAGTCTCCAGCGTTCTCCTTATCACAGAACACAGAGGCAAAGAGATCACACAGCTGGTGCTTCCAACTTATTTCTTTAGGGGGTTGAAGTTGCTTTTTAAAGAGGTTTGGAGAAAATAAACATGGAAATGGAAACGAAAGACAGGCAATTCATCTCCAGTGTTTGGTCCACTTGGCTGACTTAAAGCTTAAAGTGTGTTTAAGTTGGAGACGCTTGACATGAGCCTTGCCAGCTTCATCTCAGGACATGAATGGGTCAAGATCCTTGAACCCTCCCTGTTTTGCAGAAGTGCCTCCATTAATCCTAATGCAGCTGCCTGGGAGAGAGGATCCTTATCCATCCTTGCTATCTGCAGGCTGCAGGAAGCCAAATTCCCAGTGCCCTAAATGCACTCCCATTTAGAGACTGCTGATGCAACTCCCTGCCATAGCCCCTGCCTGTGCACTCTATCCCACATTATTAATAAAGATTATTGCTCATTAACCTTTTGGGGACCTCCTTAACAAATATTTCTGATCACTCAAGTCCCAGTCACACAAAGCCTGTGACTCAGCAGCTGCAATCCCCATTTTCCCAAACTCTTCTTTTCCCCATGCATCAGATGCTCTGATGGAATTTCAGTGCCAGCCTTGTCCCACTCCCACAGTTCCTGGAATCTCCTTCCTCCAAGGCACAATTTCTCCTCTATTTACCAACTCCATGATCCCTGCTGCAAATAAAACCAGCAACCCTGGAAAAGCTGCTATTCCAAGCACACCCACCTGGCCAGCTTGGTGATTCCAGTGCAGCCATACTGCTTTTCAAGCCTTTTCCATCCCTCAAGCCACCTGCTTTCCCTTGGCTGAGACTGATCCCATCAGCTGAATCTTCCTCCCCCCACAGAGACGCTGCCTGGGGTGACAGGCTGCCCTAGGAGCTAATGGGATGTCCATCCTTGGAGATTTCCCAGGTTTCCCTGAATGAGACCTGCAGAAACTGGCTCAGTCTGGGAGTCAGCCTTGCTTTGAGCAGGAGGATCAGAGAAGGGGCTTCAGAGGTCCCTTCTAGGACAGCTTGGTTTTGGATTCTGTCAGGTCTCCAAGAACCACAGGGGTTTTTGTTCAGACCTCTTTGCAGCTGTTTTCTCCCACCTTCCACAAGTTCAAAAACCAGAAAAGAATCCTTTTGGATCACCATTCCTTCCCCTGCTGCCTCCACCCTCAGCACCCCTGCTCCCAAGCCTTCCAAGCTAGCAATCCTCCTTCCTCAGCTCAAAGGTTACTTGCCCCTATTCCCCTTCTCTTTTCGATGTCCAGGAGCTGCAGTGGATTATCCTGGTGCAGGGTAACGCCTGGCACAGGCACAGAAAGGATACTGTCTTCTCTACTTTTGTCTTGTGTGCTTTCCATCCCAGGCAAGGCAGCTGCCACACGTCGGAAAAGCTGCAAAGAACCACACAGCGAACAGATGAAAACAACAGCTCCCCCCGGCTGGGGCAGTTCAAACAATGACTCAACACATCCCCCAGCACTATTTACACTGCTCAGCCCCAAAATCCTGACACCAAATATAACCTTTATTCCTAGAAAAGGGCAAAGCACAGCTCTTGTTAGTGGAGATCAGAGAGCTGCGAGCAGCAAACCTCCTGCACCTTCTCTGAAAACAGGATGGGTGGGATCCAGCATTTCACTCCACACCTGTCATGCATGTCCATGGACCCCAACAACCTCCCCATGGCAGGTGGGAATTAGGTTTTCACACCTCCCCAGAGGATTTCAGAGGAGCACGGAGCACGGACATGCTGCTGAAGGCAAACACACCATCAAGGAGCCTGTCACCACATCAGCCAAGCTGACACACACGGAAGAGTGTCAAAAAATGAGATGCATGGAAAGGATTTCTCCCAAGCCTCACCTATCTGTGGCTCAGGCTCCTATGGAACAGATAAAGGAATGCAGCCAAACCTAATCCTCATCTTTTGGTGCCCACTCCATGGTTTTTCTATATCCACATTCAGGGTATAAAGCACAGAACAAAGGCATCCAAAGCCTCTCACTTGAACACCACCTCCAGTTTCCCAGCAAGGTCTGAGTTCCCAATTCTCCTGATGGTTTTATTCCACTTGAAGGAGGCAAAATGGAATGGGACCAATTCTCTCTCCTGCATTTCCTACCTTTGCCCCTGAGGTTCAGACTTGTAATTCCCACCACGTGGCTCTTCCTGGGCCCTCTGGGTGAGGACCCTGTAGATAATGCAGGAGAAGTGACCTGAATTCAGCTGCCTGTCCCCTCTGCACAGGATGCTTTCCCTCCATCACATGTTCCCAGTGCATCCCCGGTGCCGCACGGGAGTCCCGGATCGCGTGCCGCGGGCCTGACGTCAGACCTGGCGTGTTCCACTGCTGTCCTGCCTCTCCTCAAATGACACAAAGCTAAACCACTTATTCCCAGTGACCCACTTTCCACAGAAAACCCAGCCAAGCCACTGCCAGCCTGTTTACATCAGGGATGTGGGTACCTGACCAGCCCCGCAGGTCCCTGCCAACGGGCTTTCCCCACTTGAGCTCCCAGTATTCCAGTGATGCTCCCACCATCCCAAGGCAACTTTGTTGCTTGACAGCCCCCTCCAAGCTCACCACGAGCAAGCCCCCAGGTCTGTCTGGGATCTTTCTTGGCAGGAATCTGGCACACACTGGAATCTGAGCCAAGGATGGGTCTGAGAAGTCAGGACTTGATGTAACTCCCTAAGTTCAGCCAACAATTCCAAAGTAAGAAATCTTAGTATGCCTCCCTCTATGTTTCTATGAATCTTTGGACCTTCCAGCCTCCCTGAAAACCTCAGGGAAATCCTCACAGGCCAACCAGGAAGTAACAAAATTCCAGATGCTAAACTCTACCTAAACCAACGGCAGGAATGTCCACACAGAGGAAGGGTGAGGAGTATTTAAAAAATCCTCAGCTGATGGAACCAACTGGAATTCCTGCATTTAAACCACACTGCTGACAGAAAGGCTATTTAAAAGACAGTAATCCTTTCTTTACATTAAGACCAGGAATAAAATGATGCTTTTAGCAGTATTTCTCCCCTAAATTATCTGACTAAAAATAGGAATTTGGCAACTAAGAAAATTCAACTTTAGTTTTTATTAACCTTCTGCTTATCAGCCCCAGCATATGTGAATAAATCCAATTAGGGAAACTTCCTGATGGTTGGAAAGCAGCCTTCCCACAGGGCCCTCTGAGCTTCCTGGTGCTGTCAGCCCCGAGCCAGTGTGTGTCTGTACACACATGTACATGTTTCAATGTTTGTGTGGGTATAAAGACACAAGTATTGATGAGCATCCAGGACTTTTTTCCAAGGCAGGAGTTAAATGCAGCAGCTGAAAGACTAAAAGCCACACAAACTCTCTTTCAGCACTCAACTCTGCAATCTGCTTCCTGATAGAAACTCTGGAAAGAGGCCTCATCTCTCACCATCAGTTTCAAGTCATTTGCCAAACTGTGCCTTTCCTGCTACTCCAGCCAATAAATCCCACCAGATCAGGGTCACAAAGGACTGCAGGCATAAACACCCCAGCAGCAATATGGAAAGGATGGGAGGATCACTGTCCAGATGGAAAAGCCAGGCAAGAAACCTGTTCCCCAACGCAAGGCAAACAAAAATCTCTCCCTAATTCTCATTCTCCGCAACTCTGAGGGTAATTCTTGCCCATCAGATGGGTAAGAATCAGAAGACAGGAGAAAGAGCCCAACTCTGTGAGAACAGGGTCACAGAGGGGCTGTGCTCAGAGAGCTGCTGCCGTGAGAAAGTTCTTCTGCCAAGGACCACATTCATCCCCTGGCTCTTCCAGGGCCAGCGTGGAGTGTGCCAGGTACTGCTGGAGGGAGCGATTCAAGAGCTCTCCCTCTCCTCTCCTTCTACAAGACATCAAAATGAACCCTGACATATTCTGGGCATGAAATCCATGGACTAACAATAAGATTCCCTGAAATACAGAGTGCCGAGACAGAACAGGAATCGCCAAGTCTTTTAAAGCTTATTCAGGGTTGACAGAATGAATCAGAGACTACAGCTCTCTGCATTAAAAGGAGCAAGTTATCTATTTCTCTTCTCCAGCTTAAAGCTCCTGTGGCAATCAGTCTTTACAGAATCCAAAAGCCAGTCTTTTCCCCTCTGCTGCACTGGTTTAACCCCACAATGATACTACCAACGCTTTTATTCCCTAATATCCATTCATTTTTCCTTCAACACTCCCTGCCCAAAGGCAGAAGGAACAGTAAATGTGAACCTCAGGGACTGCAAACAGATCTGTAGTCAGAGATCCAACAGCAGCCAGCCCTGAGGTGCCATCCTCAGAGCTCTCCCCTTTCCTGACACAGGGAATGGCAGGAAAAGCTTGGCAGCAGCACAGTTCCCTCTGCCTCCTTGCTGGTGGAAGGTCCTGGCATGGGAATAGTTGCTGTTGGAAGTACAGAGCATCTCACCTACTGGGGTCCCAGCACAAAGCCAGGCCCTCTGGATCTGCAGGGAGCTGGAGGCAGTACCTTTCCCTCCTATCTCTTCCAGAAGAAAAGGATGAACCAGAACCTAAAAGCAGCACTAAAGGACAAAAGTCCCCTGGATTCCCACTGAGGAGGAGCAGCTGGAAGAGTCACAGTCATTCCCTCCCTGAGCAGGACAAGAAATTCAGCTGTTTCTGGATGAAAATTCTGTAGGAAAACTAACTGAGATAGTGATTGTTCTGCAGGATGAGGATATATTGTGGAGAGAAGTTATCAGTTATGGGAAGGTCAAATTTGCATTCAGCTTATTAAGGATTTCACACAGGTTATGGGAAGGAGATCCATTGCAGCTGTACTTTCCCATTTCACTGGGAGAGAATTTATTACTAAGTTATAAATTAAATTCACACCATTTAGCAGAGAAGCTGCAAGGAAACAGGGAGCTACCTAAGCAGTGGTATTAAAGGTCTCATCCTTTGATAATTGCTTAAACAACTGCTTATTAAACTAATAAAAAATGAAAGTTACAAATATTCTAGAATATAGAATAGCTTTGAAATCCTCGAGAATCCCACTCCATGCCTGCAATACATGGATCAAAACTTGTAAGAAAAATCCATTTTTAATTATTTTTGAATATCCACTCATCTCTGTGCACACCATCAAATCCTCAGGGTTCCAGTTGGCCCTGAAAGCCACAACTCCCTCAGAGGCTTAGCTACAGAGCTGATGTTCCCCCCCCTGCACAGTCTCCCAAAATATCCTAGGCTAGCTTAGAGGTAAGCAGGCTGTGAAGGGAGGAATATCAGGAGATGGCAAAGATTCCCAAAAGAGGCTCTTACCCCCAGAGAGATGATGATTCAGCTCTCTTTATTCTGTGATGTCCCAGGGGAGAGCGGGGCAAAAGAGGAAGAACAGGAAATGTCAGGGGTCTATATAGACTTTGGACAGGGTGGACTTCCCTGGCTCTCTGTCAACCCCGTTGGGACAGGAAGGAGGGGTCCAGGGTTATCTTGATCAGAGTCACAGGGTCCCGGGGAAGGGGAAATAGAGGGCCCATGAGTTCACTGTAACACCTCCCCCTTATTTGTTAAACAAGGTTACAGGAATTCACTGGGCTCGATTCAATCCTGAGTATGGGTTTCCCACCACCTACAGTTGGTGTCGTAGTCAGGCTTCCACAGGTTAGCCAGCTCTATGTGGTTGACTTCTGAGGTAGAAGGTATGAGACCCTTGATAGCCTTGAAAATTAAATGACACAGGATCCCGAACGCCAAGGTTACAAGGAACAAAATAACAAGGAGTAACAAAATTGATTTCTCTAAAAGGGGAAAAAAACATTTTAAGAACATATTGCTCACTGTAACACAGAACCTCTGGAAATGTGTCAGGGCACAGAAACTCCCTGAAGGAAACAGGGAGTGCAGAGCTCCTTCATCACCATCATCATCATCACTGTTCTCGGTGAGGCAACTGCTCTTGGTGCACACCCCCGGGTTTAAGCACTCATTAAGATATTGCAGCACAGAATCCAAACCTTAATTACAAGGCAGCCTCTGTTGTAACAGGATAATTGGGGGACCCTGGAAGCCAACACATCCATGGTGGGTGATGCGGTGAAACAGCTCTGAGGTAACACTGCTATAATTATCCCATTATATAGGGAATCATTTTGCTACTTAGAGGCAAAGTCAAGGGACATTTTAATAACAGACTCTTTAGTTCTGTCTAGAATGTGAAGTAGTTTATAATCCTGTTTTATCACTCCTAGTATCCTTCTGCACAGAAACCATTTGTGTAACTACATATATAAAATGTACATGGAATGTCATCCATACACACAGAATCCAGAATGATTTGGGTGGGACCTTAAAGATCACCCAGATCCACCTCCTGCCATGGGCAGGGACACCTTCCCCTGTTCCAGGTTGCTCCAAGCCCCATCCAGCATGGTCTTGTTCACTTCCAGGGATCCAGGGGCAGCCACAGCTTCTCTGGGCACCCTGTGCCAGGGCCTCCCTACTCTCACAGGGAACAATTCCTTCCCACTGTCCCATCCATTCCTGCCCTCTGGCAGTGGGAAGCCATTCCCTGTGTCCTGTCCCTCCACCCCTTGTCCCCAGTCCTTCTCCAGCTCTCCTTGAGCCCCTTTAGACCATGACACCCATGAATTTATGTGTTCTCCAGGTCTGGATTTAAAGAGCCACAGCTCATCTCAGGACATAAATCCTCATTTTTCTGCAGCCCCATCAGTTCAAAAGACCTTTCACCGCTTTCCCCAATTCAAAAGCAACTCATAATCTTCTAGAAATAAATAGCTCTGATTGTCCAGGAATGTTTTCTGCCACTTCCAGTGCCTTCCAACAGAGTGGGAACAGCAGTTGCTCTGTCTCCCTGTGCACTGGAAGCATTTTAAGCCATCATGTTCCTCCTTCACTGGTTTGTTTCATTCACTAAAACAGAATCACAAACAGTCTTCAGACCTGTGCTTCCCCAGCTTTGTGCCTCACTCTCAGTCCAAACAGCAAATCTGGATTATCACAAACCCAGGAAAGTGAGATCCTGTTCACACAAAGCTTCTTCCATAACTCCCCTGTTATTTAAGGGGACGGAAGTCCCAAATCATGTAACGCAAGGCCAGAGATCGTTCAGAACCTCAGCCAGCAATTCAGCTCTGAGGCGTTGCTTGCTGTGTGTGGACTACAATTCCCACTGGCCCGTTTGACAAAGCTTCCCAAAATCCAGGGAAGTGCTCCTCCCACAAGGAGGGCGTTACTAGCAGCCACTCACCTGTTTTACATTGTATCCTGCTTTTGCACTAGTTTCAATGAACATTACATTCAACTCTTTGGCTTTCCTTTCTCCTTCCTCAATGGACACTTGTCTGGGGAAGAAAACACAGAGTTAGGAGGGAGAAACCTCATAAAACCCAAATCTGGACAAATACCTTAATAATTCAGATTTATTACACTTAAAAAACCCCCAAACCTTTAAGTGATTTATCTGAAAGCACTCAAAGGTTTTGGGTTTTTTTCCTGCATGGAATGTACAAATGCTGATAGGTATCACCACTTCACCCATGGTACACCCAAGCAGAACTCAGCATTCCAACAGAACAGCCAAGTGTTCACCCCCAAAATCCCTTTCCAGGAAGCTGTGCTTTTATATCTGAACAATTAGCAATCACAGTCCCAAAATAATCATCAAAACCAAGCTGTTTTAACAAAGTTCCAAGTGTAACCATCTCATTTGGGAGGGATTTTGTCCCGTTTCTCCCTGGATATGTGTTCCACCCATTAAGCAGAACATCATTAAGAACAAATATTTGTAACCACTTTATTCATTCCCTGGTGTGGGCTGCAGTCAACAATCCCTTCTTCTCCTGACATCTGTACAAGCTGATGATGGTTTTTCAACTCATTCACAGAACTGTGATGGAAATTTGGCTTAGCCAAAAGAAAGAGGGTTTAAAATTGAGATTTCTCTAGTCACACCATCTCCAGGAAAAAAAAAATAAAAAAAAAACAAACATTACAATACAGTCCTTAAAATAAGGGCAAACAGCAGCAGAGTAAGAAAAGCTGGATTTGAAAGCTGGATGATTCCCCCATACCTCTTGTCTGCTAGATCTGTTTTATTTCCCACCAGCATGATGATGACATCGCTGCCCCGTTCCGTTCTGACATCATCGATCCACTTTGTGGTTTGCTGGAAGGAGTTTACATCTATCAGAGAACAGTGGAGAGGGTTATCACTGCAGGTGTCCCTCACAGCTCACCAGGAAATACATCTGCACTTGGAAAGAAAAGCTTCATTTTCTGTGGAGTCGGCAGAGGAGGGTGATGAAGAATCAGCGAGTGGAACCCTGAATCACCCCCACTAAAGGACACAGAAGCTCTGGCATTAATTTCAGATGGGCAAGTGCTTCATTACAGGTGGGTTCAAAGCCCCACAGTGAACTGAATCCATCTATAATTTGGTTTTGACAGCACCTAAAATGAGAAGTCTTATCACTGTGTTTTGGTTCCTTATTTTTTTAGTTCAACATGAAGTATTTTCTGTAGGGAGTGGGGATTAATTTTTGCACTCCTCACAGCCCATGCCTTGTGCACCTCCAGAGGTTCCTACAGTTCCCCTGCTTCTCAAAAATCCTCAATCCCAGCCTTGCATTTTGTACACCTGAACCAATCCCTTTTTATTTTCTCTAAGGAATCCCAGGGTTATACAAGATAGCAGCAACTCCCATGGCACTGAACACTTGCCTTCAAAACAATTTCTAAATCTTTGCATAAAACCAGAAGGAAAAATTTAACCTCTTCGCAGGCACTTAATGCTACACCCTTAAAAGCTGCAAGGTAAAGATTTCAGACTCTATAGTGCTTGAGAAGTTGCATCCCAGAGGGAAAAAGGAGTTGGAGGGAAGCTGCCACAGAGCTCAGCATTTGCCAGTTAGTGACACAAAGAGCATCTGAGCAGCCAAAGTAGTTTCAGTACTTAAAAAGGGGGGGCCTCTGCAGCAGTTCTTGAAAAGTATTGATTTTTTTTTTTAATGGCTTCTACTGCAAAGTAATATATTGCATGCTAGACAGCCAAGACTTGATCACTTGCCAGTGCCTTAATTCCCTTTACTGCTTGGCAATATTGAATTTGCTGGGTCAGGAAAAAATTCAGAGTTCACAGCTAACTTGTAATTTTAGCTCAAAGGAAGGTGCCATTTTTAACAATTAGAGCTTTTCTAGGTAAAGCCCCTATTCCTGGCTGTAATCTTCTAGTATTTATAAATCAAAGGACAAGACCTTATGCATTTGTGTAGAATTAGGCTATTGTTCTCAGTCAATCCTGGTTTAGAATTGAAATTGTCTGCAGGTTTAGTTCCCCTAAAATAGAATTTCTGCTCTTTGTCAGTGCAGGAACTGGTAAGTTAAGGGGTGTCTGGACTGAGGGGAGGGACAGAAGGAGCAGGGCTGAAGAAGCACTAATATTTTAGTTGACAAAAATGTACATACCTTAGTAAGGAATGAAAGAGCAATTGTTAAAGGGTAAGAGCTTAGTAGTAAGTTTTACATCTTGCAGCATATGAGAGTGGCTGATTCCAAGGAAAATGTGATGTTAATGTGTTCTCCGCGCCAGCCCATGCCCAGATTTCATTTGGTGGGGGAGGGTGAATGAAGTGGAGCAAGCTACAAAAGTCTCCAGTTTGAGAATTCAGATACCCATGAACATGAAGACCAAAAGTCACAGATGATGTTATGACCGAAAAGCAGATGAAAGAGTGCAACAAGAGCAGGCAGGACTGGAGGACTGAAGAAAATGAGGTAGGGAAGGGTTAAAATGGCATTTTGTGAGACAGTTTATACATTACAACAGCAGCAACCACGGGGCTTGTGTGAAACAAGCAAAGAAACCACGTTTTTGTCATGCCAGAATGAAGTCCAAGCAGATGACATGAGAGGACATGCAAAGCTAAGCTAGAGGATGAAAAGGGCAGAGTATTAGAAATGCAGAATTCCCCCCACTCACTTGTGATATCATAAACAACAACTGCAACAGTGGAGTCACGAATGTAGCTAGGAATCAAGCTCCTGAACCGCTCTTGACCTGCTGTGTCCCATAATTGCAACCGTACCTAACAAAATCAGTCAAACAAGCAAGAAAAATAAGAAAAAAGGTCAAACCCAGTGCAAAATACCTACTTGTGATATCGTAAACTACTACAGCAGCAGCAGAGTCACGGATGTAACTGGGAATGAGGCTACGGAAACGTTCCTGACCCGCAGTATCCCACAGCTGCAACCTGATCTGTGGGTGGGAGAAAATTAAAAAAGCCAAACTGCCACTAAAAATAAAAGAGTAAAGAAATGTTTTACTTTTTTCTTTTTTTTTTTTTTTTTCAAAAAGTAGCTAAATAAAAAGGAGAAACTCATGCAGGAGGTGCCTGGGGACTGGGAGCAGCAGAACACTGTCTCCCTACAGCAATCTCTCCTGAGAGGTAACAGCAGCCAAGCTGGGGGGGTGCAGCTTCCCAAAAAATGCTTCCCTTCCAAAAGATGGGGAGTGGAATGGCTCAGCTTCCAAACTGAGAGGACCAACAAGTAAGCTACAGCTGAAGTGATGGAATCACCATCTCTGGAAGTGCTCAGAAGTGTGTGGATGTATGTTAGTGGTGGCCTTGGCAGTGCTGGGGGATGCCTGGACTTGATCTTGGAGGGCTTTTCCAGTCTCAGTCATTCTCTGAAATGTTCACCTGCAGTTCTCCCTACAGGAGAAATTCATGCTCTGTTCTCCTTCCTCAGGATTCACACAGGCAGCCTCCAGCAGCATGAAGGATGGTTGCTGGTGGAAAAGCTGGAAAGGCTACTCATGTCAGTTTTTCAAGGATAAAATGCTTGTTGTAACTCTAAACTGCAAAGTGACGTGCACAGAGAGGCTGAATGGCTCTTACCAGCAAGGCTCTGGAAGAAAAGGCAAGACACACTAAAAACAACATGTTTGGCAAGGTGTGCAAGAGCCAGCTGGGCCATGGAAAGCACATCTCAATCCTCAGGCACTTTCCATGAAATTCCATTTACTGGGGGTTTATCCAATCCCATTTATTGGGAGTTTATCCAGTACCAGAAGCTTCTGCAGCACTGCAGTTTTGTTTCTTCAAATAGCTGAACTGAGGCCGAATTTCTTAATTAAGAATCTGAGCTCATTTTAAACCACAGCTTTGCTTGCACAGAGGAGTGATTTCACTTGATGAGCTAAAACTGCACCAAGCAAGGAAACAAGTCTCATCTGTGAACTCATCAGAGGCCACCTTATTTTTAAACAAGGAGTATTAAGAAGATGGAGCCAGCTATTAACTGGCCACATCTGGCAATTTGTATTTTACCCATCTTGTGGCATCAAAAACTAAAGGGGTTAAGCATGGTTCCTCTTTCACCAGATTCCCACCATCATTCACCCCTCAAATTATCTGTATCATCTCTTTCTTCACAGAGGATGACATTAAATTTCCCATCCCCACTGCTGTGTCTCCACACCACACATCAGCCTGGAAGCAGCTGGGAGATGAAGGCTCAGCCTGTGCTTCCCAGTGATCTCAGAAGTGTGGGCTCCACAAAAACCAGATGCTGATCCTCATTTCTACTTTTCACAGAGAAGAGCAACAAAATCTTACTCACTGTTCGATCCTCCAAGTACATGGTTTTCGATAAGAAGTCAATGCCAATTGTTGCCTGTAAAGAGATGAGAAAACCAAGAGCCCTTAAAAAAATGTTGGAACACCTGCAGTGATTTTCAGGGGAGCAGCAGAAGCTGCAAGAAAAACAGGCTGGGCTACTTATTTTTAAGATACAGCTTGATTCAATAAGCAATCTCTTTAATATATCCATGACCAGAACAATTCCTTAAAGCACAAAAGGTTTTAAGCTTGACTTCAGTTCATGCATATTGACAGTTTAATCCACACATTTATTTGGGTAGCAGCAGGGATTTTTATGCATGTGACAAACTGGTGTCCCCAAGCTCAATCAGGATATATGGGCACACTGCCTTCTTCCCAAGTGACAAATATGTCCATGGATCTTCACTCTTCCAGGCAGATTAAGGCAGACACCTACATGATCCCTAACTAAAGCTTGGTTCATCCTAAAGTAGCAGAGCTGCACCTGAACTTCCCAACACCAGTGGGAGCTTCCTGGAGAACATCTTAATAGCAGTGGGAAACCATTCCCCCTTGTCCCCAGTCCCTCTCCAGCTCTCCTGGAGCTCTTTTAGGCATTGGAAGGGGCTCTGACCTCTGCCTGGATCCTTCTCCTCTCCCAGCCTGTCCTACCACAACACAGGGAAGCAGCACTATCAAGGAGTGGATTCCAGCATGCTCAATATACCAGACTTTTACTAAAACAGATCTTCTATGGTATGTGACATGTGGGGACACAGCACAAAGGAAATCATTCCCAGCATGTCCATGGAGGGGAATGACTCCTGGTAAAATAAACACCTCCAATCACACGGCTTTATTGCAGATGTTTGGGTTTCTGACACAGCACAGCAAGTTCTTACTGATAAGACAGAGGGACACAGCTGAATTCCTCTCATCCAGCAGTGAGCAGAAGGAATCCAATGCACAGCACGTATTTTACTAAATGGCAGCTTTCTATTTTTAACAGCTGAACATAAAAACCCCATGTTCAAATGATAGGTTTCAGAAAAATATACATTCAAAATCTGCCAGAAACATCCAGAACTAGTAGATCATCCCTGAACTCACCTCCTGCTTCAGATATCCATGATCAGGTGCATTAATACTGGGGTCTCAGGGGTCTCTAGAGAATCCTGGGCATCCAAAAATGTCTGGTTTGGGCTGACACCAACAGGCAGTGTGACTCTGGCCAAATTCCTGGAGCTTTGTGACTGATTCCTTCTTCCAGCTACAGCACACACTAGGAGGGTATGGCCCCACCTCGGGCACAACTCCAGGAAAATCAAGGGGTTTGGATGAATGGCTCTGACCCAACTCCATTAACACCCAAACTGGGCAGGCAGCACTGATGCCTAAATCCAAGTTATCTTGGAAGCCCTTAGGATTTCTCACTGTTATAAGTGTCACTCACTGGTTTTGCAATCATTTAATGTATTACATCAGACCACCTTTCCATGGTGACATCCTAAAGCACACAGGGTGAAAGCTCCTCAAGGAAGAACTGGGACACAAACTCAGTAAGGAAAAGAAGCACTCCTAAAAGAAAAATACTGGGGGGAGGATAAAATCCCAGCTTAAATAAAAGAACTGCCTTCAATGTCCATGTAATTACAGTGGGAGGAATTTGGGAGGAAGCAGTGACGTGTGCTCCAACCCTCCCACACTGTGGAAACATGGCTCTTCTCACAGCTCAGGGAGAACTTCCCATCTCGTTTTTCCTAGCAGCAGCAAGGAGGAATTACTGAAGGAAGCAGGAGGGAAATCTCTCAGTTCAACGAGATCCTTGGATAGACACTGAGGAAAAGGAGAATCATGTTTTCCTTTTTTTTTTTTTTTTTTTTTTACCTCCTGAACCCGCCCCCCAGGCACAAGGGAAGAGATTTTTCTCAGTTTCGTGTATCCAGAACATCACTAGCTGTAACCAAGTCAAGAAACACGTTCTACTTGGAGGAGACACACTTCAGGAAACTGAAGTACTTTTATATCTGAATTCTGGGAGCGAGCAACACTGAGTGTTCTCCTGGACTGCTCTGTGCTGATTTGTAAAATTGTTTTGTAAACATCTTTTTTTTTTTTTTTTTTTTTTTTTTTTTTTTTTTTTTATTTTTTTTTTTTTTTTTTTTTCTAGCTTGTGTCAACTTGTTGTTTAAAAGAGCTTGGTAACTGTTATATTATCCACACACAGGCATTAGATCTGTGATAGTCTGGCAGAAAATGGTGGAGGGAAAAAAACAAACCCTGGCAGACTTAACAACTGCTATTCCCTGGCTGTGCTTTGGGTATTCCTTTAGAACCACAGCTCATCCTGCTGCAAGCAGCAGGTAAACTCCTGGAGCAGAATCCAACCCAGAAGTGACACTCTGGCTGGTGATTAAAATTAAGATTTTACAATTGGCAAGTCCATGGTCAGTGCCCCAACTTGTCTGGAATTACTCTTCCTGCAATGGAAGACACGATAGCAGAGGATTCTTACACAAGACAAAAATATGGATTCATTTACCTGGTAGGTGTTGTCAAAGCTGTCATACATGAACCTGGTGATCAAGGAAGTCTTCCCCACTAAAAGAAGAGAAAAAACCATGGATTCAAGGACCACTTTCAGAGCAAGTTTTAAGCGTGTGGTTTAAAAATGGTTTACTGTGTCCTATACATCCCTCATGCGCACTTAAACTTCCCAAAAGGACAAGAGCAGTTATTTGACTTTACAATTGTAAAGTCACTATTTTTTTCCTGTATCATTCCCAATCATCAGATTTACCCTTAAATATTTGTGATTTGAGATGAAAATTAATTTCATTGCTCTGTTTTCTACCAAGTAATTCAGTAATTTTAGTTGCATTGAATGATAACAGCCCCCATAACTAATTATTAGCAACAAAAAGCTCTTCTCACTCATAAAACATGGGATTTACTCACTCTCAGACCCCATCATCCTTACAACACTTATTTTTCTACTCCTCTAAGACAAACACCACAGCAGAGCTGGGCCAAAGCCTAACTTATACTTCATAGGCTTTTTCCTTCTCCTGTATCTTCACCTGGAGGGATCAGCAAGAGCCACAGGAACTGGAACATCTCCAGCTGCCTCATTTTGATGTGTATAAATCCTCTTAATTGTAGGCCAGTTATTTAGGAAGGAATTGAAGTTTCTCAGGGCAGCATCACCTCCCAGGTTTTTTTCCAACCTGACTGCAGCTGGAATTTGCAATCTCAGTGGCAGAGGAGAGGAACTCTGTGACTTGTGCTGGACACCAAACACTGCATGTGCAGATAAAAGGTAAGAAAGAGTGCTTGAGGCAGAGCTTGTGTTCTCCAAGCAATATTCCAAGGATTTCAGTTCTTTGCCAGGGTGGCCATCCAGTAAACACAGGGATTTAAGGCAAGATTAAGGTCCATTCCAACCCAAACCATTCTATGATTTCTGGGGTGAGTTTTGTGGGGCTTTTGTCTCTTTGTTTTAGATCTTAACACAGAAGTGTCACCAAAATCTCCAGAATCCCACTAAGCAACATTTTCATCCTCAGTTAGCCCTGAAAAAGGGCTAAACAAACAGGAATCCAGCAGGCAGACTCTGAGAGGTGAGATTTTCCCAAGTCAAAATCTGAATTCCCATGTGAATTTCTAACATACTCTGCTCCGGAGGCAGAATCAGGTTTCCCACCAAGTTAAAAAGCTGCCTTCACAAAGGTAGAGCAAATACTCCCTTCACTGAGTATGTTTTTGGAAGCAGCACATCCCAGATGGGAATGATTCCTGAATCCCTTACTCAGACTTGCCCCATGGATGTGCTGAACAGCTAGAGTTGGCGCAGGACAAACAGCCAGGAGCTGCTGTGAGGGGAGGAGGGATTCATTCCAGGCCCAGTGACAATCCTCAGGAGATACAGAGAAGTAAACCAAATCCCCTCCTGCTGCAGCACAGGCTGAATCCCAGGAATTGATTTGCAGCATCACAAACAAGCTGGTTTTCCTCACGTGGCCACTGATGCAAACAGCCACATTTAACTCTTCATGGGTCCAGTCTCACCCAGGAAATTATTTGCTTTGGTAACTCACGACCCCTGAAGGACAATAAAGTGTTCCAGAAATTTTTTCCCTTCTGAGTGCCACGTCTTAGACGGGATCTGTCCACAAAGCATAAAATATGAACATATTCTGTTTATTCCTGGAGTCTCCCTACCCTACCTTCACTCATTTAACAAAAAGAGGGGGAAAATAAAGTACTGCTTGGCTTGTTTATATTTAAGTATCTGCTTCAACAACATTTGGAGAGAGCATCCTAATGGACTTAGTTCCAAGACATTTCTTCTCTGAACAGACCCAGGTTTATGTTGACAGCCAGCAGATCAAGATGGTATTAACACCAACTGCTCAAAGTTTTAATTCCATCAATACTGAGGCATTGCCATTCCTCCTTTTAAAAAACCCAAGCTGACTCCTTTTAGAATCCTGGCAGGAATGAAAGCCCACAGTTGACACTCTATCTCTAATTTCTGTTCTGCCTTGCTGGACGTATGTTCCATGAATTCACAGAAGGCATTAATTTGGGAGTGACTACAAGCAAGGGAGAGGACAGATTCAGAATTCAAATTCATCTTGGAAAATGCCAAAATGACCTCAGGAGGCAAATGAAGCTCAGCAGGGAGAAGCAGAACAAGGTAGTACACAGAGACAAGAACAACCAGCTGCTTAAAATCCAGATGGGAAACAACTGGATAAGTAATCCAGTGGTCATAGCCCAAGGAACAGATAAGACACTCAAGACTTCAGCTTTGTTTCATTAAGATGTTGGTTTGGGTTTTTTTTAATCTAGTGAGTTAATTTAATCTCTTGGAAAAATTTCCACACACAAGTACATCCAGGGCAGCACTAGTCAGCAATTCAATAAATATCCTTTAGGCCAAAATATTCCTGGTATGCTGCTGGAACAACTCCAAGAAAAAGGTCAATATCACATCCTTGGAGGGACAGAGGTGGGGGGAGGAAATGCTGGGAATGGGGTTTGCTGTGACTGGACACACTGAGAGCTACAGGAAGCGAGGGAAAATCTCAAACAATTCAGGAACTGAGAAGGAACTCTTTGGCACAAAAACAGGCAGCTTGCAGAGTTCACAGCAAGCAGCTGAAAGGTGAGGGGCACAAGTGACTTACTGCTCAGGGAAAGTTGTCAGCCACTTTTCCCTCTGCAGATCAAGATCTAGCAGCTAAAAGCTGAGTCCAACGACAATCTGAGCAGGAAGGGCACAGAACTGGGAAATTGAGGCAACTGAACCTCAAAATAACTAATTCAGCTGGGCAGTGGATACTCCTCCCTTCCTTGGCATGCAAAGTTGTCAATGTCACTCCACTCTACAAATTTATATCCAAGGCATCTTTTGAAGAGGAAGGAAGCCAAGTAAAGAAGTGATTAACCAAAGAAACCATTTATTTCAACACCAAGCTTGACATGGTGGACATTTTTCTGTCATTAAGAGGCTGAACAATGGTTTCACCAGATGAATTCTTGACTCCTTCCAGCCTTCCATCCAATAAAATCCACATCAAATAGCTCCTAATCACACGCTTGTGCTTCAAACATTAAGTAATTGCTGCGATTATAAAATCCTAGAAGATTTTGGGCTGGAAGGAACCTTGAAGACCAGCTCATCCCAAGTCCCTGACATGGGCAGAGACACCTGACACTATCCCAAGTTGCACCAAGCCCTGTCCAACCCGGCTTTGAACACTGCCAGGGATCCAGGGACAGCCACAGCTTCTCTGGGCACCCTGTGCCTCTCCAACCTCACAGAGAGGAATGCCTTCCCAATATTCCATCCTTCCCTGCCCTCTGGCAGTGGGAAGCCATTCCCTGTGTCCTGTCCCACCATCCCTTGTCCCAGGTTTCTCTCCAGTTGTCCTGGAGCCCCTTCAGGTGCTGCAAGGGGCTCTGAGCTCTCCCTAGAGCCTTCTTCTCTCCAAGTGAACACCCCCAGCTCTCCCATCCTGGCTCCAGCCCTCAGAGCACCTTCTATCATCTTAACTATCAATGTACACTTCTGAAGGGATCCAGCTGCAAGAGGGATTTTTAAGCTCGGCTCTGACTTGCTTAGATGGTTTTCCTCAGCTGGATCAGCTCTGGAAGAATCTGGATCTAGTGGCTCCCATCATGAACTGGCTGCTCACCCCATCCCCATGAATTTTGCAAGGCTGCAGTGTTCCCATATATTCTGGGACAAGAAGAAAATGGCTGTTCTGATAGATAAAATTAGGAAACTCCTAAAAGGAAAGGTTTGATCACTGGTTCAGCAGAGAAACCAGGAGATGCCCAAACACCAACACCCTCCTGAATCAGCAACTGAACTGTGGCAGCAAACAGCCAAGTACCCAGAGATGTCTGAGAGGGAAGTTGTGAAGATCCTATCAGAGGAATTGCCATGAACCAGGAGGGCTGAATTCCAAGCCTTCAGCTCATGGAGTCACCCTGGTCAATCCCTTTTGTCTAGGAGCCTGGAGCCACTGCCTGGCAGGGATTTCACAGCAAGAACTCAGCTGCAAGATAGAATCAATACGCTGATCTCGTACTTCCAGCCACTTTGATCCGACAGCGGCCGCTGGAGACATTCCAAGGTCGCTCCATCAGGTTCTTCCAGGCAGCCTTTTGCCTGCTCCTGGGGAAATCCATGTGTCCAGCAGCAGCCCCAGGAATGACACTGATCCATGGTGGGCTCCCACCAGCAGCAGCCCCAGGAGTGACATGGATCCATGGTGGGCTCCCACAGCGCGTGTGGAACGCTCTAACGAGGCACTGGGGAGGAGGGCCCAGACCCCTCAGATAACACAAATCACCTCCCTGCCAGCACGGGATTAGAAGGTCATTTGTTGCCAGAATTTGCAAAGGGCTCAGGCACCAGCCAGGAGTGACCTGCAAGGAAAAGGAATTGGGGTTGTGCCACTTGCACTGTGTGATGCACGAGGAACAGGTCTGACATGTCCCTCTCATTTTCTTAGTTGAGATTCATACTAGAGATTCACACTAGAGATTCACAACCTCTCCAAGGATTCTTCTGGAGAAGCCACACTTAAATCACTGACTTCATCCTAGTGGTTGTTCAGAACTTTCAAAGCATCAGCAATCAGGAAAAAAAAAAACCCAAGAGTTATCTTTAAAGCAAAATAACCCTAAAAGTGATCAACACGTCCAGACTGTTCAACTGGAAAACTGCCCTTGGCCTCTCCCAACTCTCAGAAGCAGCCTTGGCTAAGAGATCCAGCCTGCTGAAAGCCAGAGGAAAAGGGAGGAAAATGAGGAAAGCCTTCTCCTCACTGTGTAATCCCAAAATTTCACTTGCCCTTTGCATGACTCCTTCAGATTTGATTGAAGGATAAACCCCAGTGACACTACAACTTCTTTTCATACATAAGCTCACCTCAAAATCTTCACTGGAATTATTTTGCTGTGAAAAAAATAAAAAAACTAACCCAAGGCACCAAAAGAAAAGCATTGCTAAGAACGATGTACTCAATTATGAATGCCTCAGAACCATTTTTAGATTTGTGTTTAAAAAGAAGCCCCAAAAGGAA